TCAACTGTATTTTTTCCCTTCAAAAAGCAATATTTTATCAACACGCGAAATTCCTTTTTATCCACTTTTTTCACAATAACAAAAGTTGCTTTACTAAAAATGCTATAAATCATAAGCTAATGATCCGACAGCCGTCAAATTTATAGACGCGTCTTTTGAAGGTTAGGACTAACTGAAAATCATATGGATTTATTTCTGGTGCCGCCATCTATGTGTCAGGCCGGGGACTTTTCAATTGACCCTATATATGTACCTACCTTTATCTCAATCTCTAAATAATTTCACCGTGGATACATTTTTTAGGTCCTCTCTAAACGTATTATTTACTACGCGTATGGTTATTCTTTTATATCCATAACAATGCACAAATTGTCTTTTTTGTTAGCATGAAATTAATTTAAAACCATGCACAGCCACATAAGTGCAGAGCTAAAGTGGATATGATCGTCCCCACATAAGTGTTTGTTCACTTCTGTAACATGACCGCTCGTGTTTCTGATAAGAATTTAAATTATATTTAAATCTGGTCGTCGAAAAGCGGAAGAAGAGTGCACAGGTTGGACACATCATGTTCGCGATATGTTTGCTGATAAGACAAAAATACAGCTGAGAACGAACGGGAATATCGGGATGTCGCAGCATTGTTATTCATGGATTGGGACTTGGGGGCTCCGATGATGTGACGGTAAATATATCCAGTTACAGTCGGTCCAGTGGCAGCCTACTGTGTACGTACGAACATGCTTCACTATGTCGTCGATGATGTTTCCATCAAGATTTTCGCTATCCACCTTTGATTGTGGCAATCGAATATGGATGCACCCGCTAACTCGGCAACAGCGACATACATAGCGAGAAAAAGAAATCAGAGCTTATGTAACGATCTGTTTTCTGAAGCGCTATCCGATTTTGCTCTTCTAATTTGCATGAAATGATTGAAGTTGTTTTGCGAACGAAAAGTAGAAAATGAATCTCGAATCGCGATGGTCAAGGGCCCATAACATCTACTGTCGAATCGAACAAAAAGCCATTTCGATGAATATTTTATCCAGTTTTCAAAGAAGAGGTCAAAAATGCAAATGTAGAATTTTTCATCGTATGAATTCTACTGAGTTGGGTGTTCCCCAATTTCCTTCCTCTTTTCTTTAGAGTTATTTGGGACTTTCTTAAAGTCAATTTAGTATGCCTTTTGTATACAAGTACCACTGTAACTAGCTTCGGTCAATAATTAACCAATTTAAACGCGTTTGGAGATGTCCTACCAACCTAAATTTGTCGACTTTCGTATGTGCAGAAATTTCTCAAACATCGAAAAGGTTCAACATAATTTGAAAAAAAAACGTTATTTTGTCGAATTTCATCCATTCATCTCGCTATAACGGCTTCTCCCTTCATTTTTTGTCATTTCCGTCACAATATCGTGCAACTCGATTAGGTAACCATAGATATGACGTAAAAGCGTCGTGACGGTTCATTGACGACAAGCGAAACTTAATTCGTGATAAAGCGAGAACCATTTCGTGGTGTCGGAAGGAATTACGTCAAAGCGTCGGTGTAGAGCCACCACATAAGAATCTTATGATGGCCTTGTCGTTTTCCTCATATTTCGATTCAAAATAAATAAACAAGATCTAAGTGTAACGAAATTGTACAATGACGAAAATAAATAGGTATTTTTATAGATTTTGGTACAGTTATGTGGAAGTTTGTAGGAAAAGAGAACCTAAATCTTCTGCTTGGCTTAATTGTACCACTCATGTTTTTTTCTTAATGTTATTGAATAGAGACAGTTATATAAGTTTACCAGTTGCATGGATTTTGCAGGAAGATTTTGACAGGAAGAAGCGTGGGTTTTGTAATTTGTTTGTGCAACACAAAAAGAAGGGAAATGTAAAGTTTAATTTACATTCTGGAGGAGGCGGTAGGCAGCTAGTGAATTTCTTTACAACTTATAATTAATACTAGCGACCCGTGGCGTTTTCGACTTTAGCTTTCGGTGGTGGAGCATAGTGAATAAGTTAAATAAAATACTACAGTTGTACTGGTTTCACGTCTTTAATGTTTATCAACTAGACAATTGTTTTGATCAGATCATATTCATTTAATTTGTTTGATTAATGATGGTTAACCAAACTAATTTTGCGTTGAAGCGCTCGCTTAGTTGATTCCTTTCCCATTCCTGTATTGCCTACCTAAGGGTGTTTCAAAAAGGCAGAGAGATACATTACAAACAATTTTGAGAGTAATTCGATAGCAAGGCAATAAAATCATTAAAAGAAAACCTATATATTACCTTTCAAGAGTCTATCGGCACACCAGTCGCTGGAGCAGGCAGAAAAAGGTTCATCCAGATTTCAATGGGAAGAAGAGGAATCTTCATCATCATATGGTTGTCAGTCTTAAGACTGGTTGGACACGCACCTCCACTCTTTCCTATCCTGAGTTAAACTTCGCATTTCCCTAAAACTAGAACATTCCACTTCTTTAACTATTTGTGAACAGTAATGTAATCTACGTCTACCTCTACTCCTCCTAACTCCTGTTTCTGCCTCTAATATGTCTCTGACTACTCCTTCATATCTGAGAAAATGTCCTACCAACCTATCTAACAGAAATCTCAAGGGAACAAAAACATTTTCTATAATTTCACACGTATACATAAGTACTAGTGAAAGTGAAATAAGAAGAGACATATGATGAGATCGTTCAGATTCTAGTTTTGCCTTTGACGCTATGAAACCCTAAAAAGGGAACTTAAACTTTTGCTTTGTCGCACAATGTGCCTAATTTACAGACCGTTTGCTATTATCGTTCTGTTTACTGATATGACGATGATATGTTTTATCGGACCATAAAACGAATTGGATAAGTGTCATCCCGAGGAGAGAACAATGGAGCCATACTTTAGTCTTAAAGTGGCAATGTATGGCTCGGTTTTGGGGATTTCTTTTGTTCCGGACGAAACAATGCACTTACACACACGCATCCATCTTCGAAAAGGGTCGGTTGGTTATTTTTCGTCGTCGTTGTCAAACGCGGTGGGCGCGCTCTTTTGTGGCCTATTCATCAAGAAGCGTTGACTTTTATCTTATACGAACTAAGGGAGAAGATTAACTTTTCATATGAGAACGTCAGGAAGGTTAAGAGGAATATCCAGCGGAAAAGCCGACCCGTTTCCGCATTCTTTCATACAGCTACTACATTATTCCGTTGTATTTAAACAAAGACAAAAAATTATTCAGGAATACCTACAAAACAAAACATTTAAATTATTGTATACAGTACTGACGGATTGAGAACGTAACGTAGGGATGTTTTATTGTTTTGATTAAATTTAAATTGGATTAATACGAGAGTATCGGCTTTCCAATAGAAAAGAATTGTGCAAATCTATCGCGTCGAACCTTCTTCCTTTGTGAAGTCCAGCCAATTAAAAAGTTGTAACCAATGCAAAGTCTGAATAGTTGTCTTTTTGAAATATCCATGTACCTACTTACTCATACGATGGTATAAAATCGAAGATGATGTTTTAAAACATTCTCCTGACAAAAGAGAGCATCTTAAATCTAGTTTTCAATAAACCGACCCCTTACTGTCTCGTATATTTCCTATTCTCCAGAGTCCCTAAAATGTCTAAGAAGAAACCGAAGAAATGCCGTCAGTTAAAACGCTTTCAAAGACGTTCTCGAAACCTATTTTTCAAACTGCTGTACCTCTTTACAAACCTTTCTCTTGTAAAATGAAATTTTCCTAAAACTTTTACCGGCAAGATCTCCCAGAGTAGCATTCTGATAAAAGTTCATGGCTGAAATAGAAGACCAATATGAAACGTACACGGAATCACGGAATACACATTTAATAAAAATTGACAAATGTAAAAGAAAGCAGTTTTTTAATTCAGACCAATTTAAAAAAAGGGTTCCTTAATTGAGGACCTCATCGCATACTACAACTAAATAACTGTTCACATCTTTAAATCTTCAAAGTGGCACAAATCCTTAGCTGTCAAGAATTATCGCATACATTTTCCGCTAGTCGAGATGGTGATTCCCAAAGCTCATTAAAGTTCAACTTTTGCAACCTAGTAGGCAGCTTTAAAGGAAGATAAATTCGTAGCTCCTAATACAAATAGATCGGTTCGCTTTCTTTTCGATTCCACGAGTCGCTACTGAATGAAAGACAAAAATCTGAAGCCACAAGAGGATAGCAATCACGATTCGTCCTGCTTCACTGACGGTGCTTTTAGTGGCCGAGCAAATCGCTTTGACATTATTCATGTGGACAAATTGACCCTCGAAGCGAATAGAACTGTTCTGAAGTGAACCAAACTACATACATAAATACATTTGCTATAGTACCTACGTCTATCTAAAGTAAGTATTAGCAGCTATCTTATTACATACACCACTACACATGTACATAAGCCGTCTGATATCTTCCCCAATCACTTTTATTAAACGCTGCAAATCAAGATTAGACATCATTAAACCCTTTTAATCCCTATATGCATCCAGCACTTTATTAAGTAAGTAACAATTTCATTCCAGTGATGGATGATTTGAATAAACTGTAGCTTATTTTACATTACAGGGGTAGATAAAGTTAAAGAGTCATACTGGATTCCTAGGGTCTGGATTTTAGACTGTAGAGGAACCAGACTAGGCCTTTGTACATTATAATAGTCCTATAGTTGTAGGTACGCCTCTAGTAATCATCTTCACCCAAGTTTAATTGAAGTTACGAATTTACAGTTGCTCTTTTTGTTATCAAATTATTTATGATATATTGAGGTTGTCGTCAAGGGTGTCGTTGAATTTTCTGGGCAAATTGTTCCTTCACATAGAAGGCTCCTAGTAACCACGATCTCAACACCACCAGTTGAACAAACAATTTACATATATCCATGCCGATGAACAACCTGAAAAGTGTGTTAATTTTATTGCGTCGGCGTTAAGTTTAAACGCTGTAAAAACAATTCTCGTTATCATTTTATTCGAATGTCCACTTCTGTGTTCAAGGTTTAGACAAACATTTTATAAAGTCGCTTCGAAATTATTAAGCTAAGTCTAGTGTTAGCAAAGCGAAATGGAATGTAAGTATGTTAAATTACTTGTACATTGTCATTCAAGTCTCACATTACTTGGATAAGTCTTTTAAAACTGTAAGTTTCTTTTCTTTATTACAGTTCGCATGTTCCCTAGTGTATTCAAATTCTTTGTTGTTTTGTTGCTCCTGAATATTGCCAGAGCCTATCAGGGTAAGTCTTACCTTTTTTGTCATAGAAGTAAACTGAAGATTAGTTTTCATGTACAAACACAGAAAAAAAAAACATAAAATCAGTCAAAAAACAAAATTATGTTATCTTACAATAGTCAAATACAAATTTTGTAGTTTATGAAATGCAATTAATGATGAATTCTACGGATTTTTATAGATAGTGACTGTTTTGTATTGCTTTTCCAGAATGTATTTCTGAGCATAACGTTTTCCCTCATGAAACCGATGTCACAAAGTACTACAAATGTAACAAGCAACACAAAAAAATCCAGATGCAATGTCCGCACACCATGCAGTTCAATCCGTCCGTTGGAATGTGCCAGAATTTCATCAAACAGGACCAGTTCATGAACGTCCCGAGTTCACAACAGAGACCGCCATTTTATCCCGACGCACCCTTCCATACCCATCAGCCACAGTCAAGCCCTTCCACTGCTGCCAACATTAACAAACCCGGCACTCCGGGAAAACATAATCACGGAATTCAATACGCTGCGTATCCAGATTCTCCATATCACACCGAAAACTATTTACGAACAAACCCCTATTATTTCACTGGTACTCATTACCCTTCCAAACCGTTCTATTATAAACCGTCACATATTGGATCTGGATACCTCCAACCCTACCATCCGCACCATCACACCATTGACTATGGAGATAGCTATGGGCAAAACTATCAGTACGATAAACCCTACGATCAGGGACCGTCCTATCTTTATCCCAGCTACGGATCTCGCTCATTCACTTATAAACCATTCCGTCACGGAAATAAGTCCAAATTCAACAGCAACCACAGTCACCATGGAAACAAACCTCATCATTATGGTCAACCAAGATAAACATACTTGCAAATTAAAAGAATTTCATTTAAAATAATCTGTGTTAACAATTTTATGTAAAAAAAAGGAATTATTATATTTGATGCTTTTTATTTATTTATTTATTTTAATTATCAAAATAATTAAGGCCCAAAAAGAAGTATCACGAAATTACATGGTAGGATAAAATCACTTTCTTAATTGCAAATTGTACAAAAAGTTTGAAAAACAAACACATATCAATGTAAACTGAATTTCAAAATAGACTAGAGCCTCCCGTCAAATAATTGAATTTGAAGGATCGCCTAAAATTATTAATGTGCCTTAAGAGAACAGGCGGATAAGTATTTTGATCTATACTGAATAAATCTAAAGCTACTGGGTCTCGACCATTTCCATAATTTTCAAATTATGGTTTATTGTAATGATCAATTGTTGTGTTATAAAGAAATTCGTCCTGCCTGGATCGAAGTACTAGGATCAGTCCAATAGTATACTCTAGTTGCCTAAACTGGTCAGCACTGAGACTCAGAGTACAATTAGTGACCGATCACCAAATACCCGAATACTCAGCTACACTGGTTTTGAAATCGCCACAATGATACAAACAGTACTACAAAATATGCCTGATTTTTCATTTTTGAATTATAGAAGTGCATCAGAAACTGGCTCCCCTAATTTATTTTACACACAAAGAAAAATTCTAATTAAAATTCATTATCCATTATTCAAAATTTAACAGAAAGTGATTGCTTACAAAATATCATACACAAATTTCGTTGTGCGCTTTTTTAGGTAACACAAGCGACGACTTGAGAACCGAAGATAGAGATATTATATCACATGAAATCATTAAAAAAAGTGACATCATCTTTTGGAAAATACGAAGTGATCAAGGAAAATACGAACAAATATCATCATCCATCTTTTCATACCTATAAATAATAACGTAATAAGTCCAATAAATTCAATTTTATACTTTTGAGCGGTATTACACTTTAATCAAAATATTTTGAGAGTTTGGTTAGTTTAGGACAGTTTCAAGGAACCAGGTGATATTTTTAGGTATGGACGTGGTTTAAAAAACATATTCCACACGCTCAATCCCTGATAGGACAAAAAATATTTACTTGGAATAATAACGGTGTACGAAAGAGTATTTGTTCATTATCTTATCTATATCTACTTAATAGAAAGGTCAAATCAATACAATGGTCAAACTCCACGAAAATGCTGACATATTCATTCGTCAAGTGCAACCACTTCAAGCGCCGTAGTACTTAACACCAATGTTTGACAATAGAACTTGTGCCGCCCTATTATGTCGATTCGAACGTGCAATGTTTTTCATAAAAATGTAGGTCAAGAAAAAAGTCGAGGACGAAACTTTAACGTGATGAAGACCATGCTGGATGCGCTGGACTTCGGTTAAGTTCCAAAAGTCGTTGTCAGTTAGAATGTGGTCAGAGAACGGGTATCAACTGTTATTTAAATTCGGTTGTTACTCTTAATATTGGTTATGGTAAATTTTAAGAGAAGGAACTGCAAGACCTATCAAAGTGAATGGTTTTGAGAGTTATTCGTATAAAGTTTGACCAGTGAAGCTTAGGACGAAGAAGAAAAGCACTCTCTTCGGCTACAGGAGGTATGAGCACTTTTAAATTTTATGGATTGTGATGGACTCACTCTTTCGTACCTCAGTATTGTACAAAATTTTTCTAAAAATCCAGAGATCCTTTTCAACGTTTATTATCTTCATTTTAGGTATGTTTGGTACACTTTCACTTTTCTACATTGGTGCTATCATCCTTAGAACAAATGGTAAGTGTAATTGCCCGTTTGCTTTTATAATGCAGTGTTAAAATAAAGCAAATTATTGAAAAATCACTTACGTTAATTATTTTTTCAGGATGTTTTGCTGCTGAAGATACTTCCCGCTATCTACCACATTTGGAGGATTGTTCAAAATTTTACAGGGAGTTCCAGGGAGTTCGACATGAACTTCAGTGTCCCTTTCCGAAACTATTTAATGCTCAGTTAAAAGTTTGCGATACTCCGGAAAAATCCGGATGCGTAAGACTTCCAAATGGTTCCGATGTGAAAGCGCCCACAGTTGCTCCACAACCATCCCAAAGTGTGGTCATACCCAACAATTCAGATGTATCACAACATGCACAATCTTTAGAGTCTGGGATATCTCACGTTCTTCCAGACAGTCAAGCAACTTCAACTCCATCTTCACAATTAACAGATGGCATGCCATCGTTTTCATCCTCTTCTGATAGTAGCTACTCCTCCGTAGTAGACACTATCGAAGCGCCCAAGAATTTTAGCATGTCAGAACCCACCATGCAAACAAACCTTACACAAAACGTGAACGCTTTGGAGGATGGTATATCCCATGCGATGGATTCTTTCGATATTCCAAAGCCATCACAGCCTGATACGTCCACAGACGAAAACATGAATATCTCCAGCAACCTTCCATATACCGGATACATGCCATACTCTCATGAAGACACGGACACCTCCGACGATATATACGATAATCCGTCAAATCCGCAGTCACAAACTTTATCGGAAGATTTAGACTCTTTAGAATCAGGTTTGTCTCATGGTTTAGGTACGTTTGAGTTTCCCATGGGAAGACCGCATCCATTGGACAGCGAAATTGGATCTAGTGGGTACTCCAACGGAATCCCAGATTTTCCTCCACCGTCATCAAGGGAGTCAATAGAAGAAATTGGAAAGCATGAATTTCCCCATAATTCAGAAAGAAGTTTAGAATCACTTGAATCAAAACTATCGCACACCCTTTCATCATTTCACTTTCCCGAATCGGGTGATGATTCAGAGTCTATTGAAAGTCCTAATCCAAGTGATGATTCGGTACCAGACGGTGGATACTCTCCAGGTCAAAGTTCCGAATCAGTCGAGTACCCAGGTGACACTGACGCAAATATAAATGGAAGTCCCGAGTCACACTCAAATTTAGATTCCATAGAGCATTCTTTGAGTCATGGCCTAGGATCCCTTCACTTTCCAAATGGTTTACAGCCAACAGCTGATCCAGATGAAACAGGAATGTTCGGCAGTTCTGAAGAAAATCAGCAAGAAAGTCAAACTTCCTTCGGTAACTAATTGAGTAGCTACTTAAATATTTCCAGTAGGCATGTTATACATTAAACCTCGTTAAATTCTCTAAAGTTCTAAAAATTTGCATTAAAATTTGATTTGTATTAATCTTAATTCCTTTGCATACGAATATAGATTTGAAATAGATTCCTTCCATTTATCAACCTTTTCTAGAATGTCCCCCATCATCCCAAGAAGAAGCTATTAATATGGTGTACCCTGGTAACTGCTACAAATTTTACAAATGTTTCAACGGTGTTCCAGAGGTCTACGACTGCCCAGCACCTCTACAATTTAATCCCGTCGTCGGTATTTGCGACGAACCAGAAAACGTCGGTTGCTCATCTCAGAACGTCTACAGTAACCATCAAAGTACTCCCTCGGCACCTGAGTTTGGTTGGAATACAAACGGAGACGGAGCTTGGAATTTACCTAACAATCCGAATTGGAATGTGCCTGGTACTCAACATCCTAATCATCATACCAGCAATGAATATAGTCAACACGAAGGCGGTGGAATCGGTGGCATTGAAAATGGAGACAATGTACAAAGTACTTCATTGGAGGCTGGCGATCCGCACAATGTGAGCGAAGATGAAAGTAGTGATAGTGACAATTCTGATGACAATTCTTCTTCGCAGGAGAACAAAAGCTCGATGCAAGATGATTATCAAGATAGCTTCAGTTCAGAAAGTAAAGACTCTGGTTCAACTTCAGAAGAAAACACCACTTCTGGTGCTTCCAAAGGTAATAAAAAGCGTTCTTTTGCGCTGTTATCGAAAATAGAGAAAGGAATACCATTTCTAAATTCCGGCTGGAGTGATTCAGGCAATTCTGATGGTAGTTCAGATGGATCATTTGGTTCAGGTGAATACGACGGCGACTTTTTCTTCAACGCAGATGCGTCGTCGTCCTTTATAGATGGGTGGCGCCATATTCTCTTACCTGTTTCAAAAGACTGGAATAACAGCATTCAACAGCTTTCAAATGCCCTTCAAAGTATTCCTTTCCTTCCCCACAAACATTTAAAACAGAGCAGCGAAAAAACAAGTTAAATAAATAATACAAGTCATTGTATAAACTTTATTTTTATATTATTTAATAGGTGTATAGTTTTGTTAGTTTGAATGTTTATTTAAAAAAATATGGAGATGTTTATTTTTCGCTTTTGTAAAATGCTTATATTAAAATAAATTATTGGAGAAATTAACGAATTTTGATATATCACATCAACTTGTTAAAACGGTACTTTAAAAATGATGTAAGTAATTAATTAAGTTATTAAATTTCTTAGTAGTTGCTTTATTGAGTGACAGATTGCACAGTTTACACATTTTGTTGATAATATCCAGGCATAATATCTTCCTCGTCAAAAACACCTGGTTCTTTTTCCAGAACCTTTAAAAGAATCTCCTTATGACGTTTCAAATCAGCATCGCCATCCACGATAATATTGTTAACAACATCCATCTTTTCGCGCACTTTCATCCTAATAGGAGGGAACTCGGAAATATTGGTCAGAGCTTTGATGGCAAAGAACTGAACGTAAGGAGTAAATCTGTCATTACAAAGCTCCAACAGACGTTTAGGTATATTGACAAACTTCTTGCATTTGATTTTGACTTTTGTATGGACAGTGCCAAACATCAGCAATGATGTAGCATAAGTATAAACGTCTGGGTTTTTGTGGTTCAACAGTTTATTTAGCTTGTAAAGAATTTTATTTTCTAGGAATAGTTCCTGACCAACTGGACTGGAAGTCAAAATTTGAAGACATTTGAGAGCGTGTGCCTGGACGGCTACGTTGTCTCTTTCGAGCAAATCCAAACACGTGCCGAATCCGTCCAGCTCCATCACTTCACTTATGGAACTGGTTGTTGTCATCAAATGGTACAGGGCTTTCAGGCGCATCACGATTATTTCGTCCGTCTCAAGTTCGATCCCATCAGTTAAGTAAGTTAGAAACTTGTTCTCCACCAAATCGCAACCTGTTACCCAAAATTCTGACACCACATAGACTACTTCGTTAGCTTTCAGACGAACTAAATCGTTAGCTTCTGAGGCGATCAGTTCCGCTAAATTCTGAAGAATGACTTTGTTTTGAGTAATTGCTGTTTTTCCGTCAGCTTGGTTAGCAATTACAATCAATGCATAAAGTGATCGTTCTCTTATGACCTCGTTGCTGTTTAGTAGAAGATCTGCCAAACGATTAGGTATACGAAGCCTAATTGCATCGAAAGCTTTTTCAGGGTCGTGACATAAATCACATATGGTTGTTATAGCACAAATCTGTAAGTCTTCGTCTTTGCTATGAAGTTCTCTGCGAAGTTTTGGTAAAGCCCATCGGTCGAAAGCACATGGTCGTCTAGTTATATCGACATTTCCAATTGGAGTGTACGGCAAATGAGACGATAAACGTAAATACGGTGGTTCAAAATCAATACCGTCAATCACAATATTATCTCTCGCTTTCGCGACAGTTCGGTTTATGACTCTTGGGTTTATCCCACAGGAACGAGCTTGAATATATGAGTGTTTATGAGGTGAATACATGGTTATTTAAAGATGAAAACAATAAAAATGGTTGACTGCGAATAAGATCTGTATAAGACAAAAGTCAAAAGGTTGACAGATTGGTTAATTCTATGTATTAGAACTGTATCCAAAGTGATCGCTTCAGTTTCTACAACAAACTCAGTGAAACTTTCGTTCTTTAATTTTTCAATGGTACACTCTCATAATTTTAGAAAATACCACAAATGGCGCGGTAAACGCCATCTGTAGTACGATGCTACATTTTAGGATTACGTATGCTCAAACAAGGTTCACTTGTGTGGATATCTACTTGCTGAAACGAATCCCGGCGTAGCTAACCTCAACGTGATAGGCACGTTACCATAATCGAATAAAATAATTCGAAGTGGTCTGTATTCTGTCG